TAGCTTCACCAGGGCTGGCAGAACCCCAGACACTTTCAGAAATCCTTGGCAGGTGAGCTGGTGGAGCTTAGTGTGAGGTGTGAGTCCCCAGCTGGGGCTGGCAGCATCCCCCTTGGCTGGGAGGGTGACCTGCAGTGCCAGCTCCCACTGAGGACATCACACCTCTGAGCTGTGCCTTTCAGAGCCAGCCTTCCTCTCCCACAGCTCTCTGCACCAGCAGCAGCCTGGATTGTAACTTTTTTAATCTGTTTATTCTCTATCTCTCTTGATTCTGTTGTATTTCTTCTCACATGTGGATTTCTCAGTCTCCTCTGAGCTGAGCTCCTTGGGGATATTCCCTCACAGGGAATCCCTCTTATTTCAGTCCTCCAGGTCAGAAGAAAACTCCAAAGCTCATCAGGATCTCGTTTCTCGTGTTTATTAGGATGTTATCACAAAACTTGGCAGGCTTTTCCAGACTTTTTGCTCAAGTTTAACTCACTACAACCTGGCACATTTTGGCTCTGATGGCACAAAATGGCCCCGAACTGTGCAGCCTTTTTATCTTTATACTTATTCTTATCCAATTAACAATAGAAAGATAGATTATTTTTCTTAATGACCCAATGACCCATCACCTGTGTACTACATTGCAGCATTTTCTATCCAATCACCTACTATTACCCAAAAACCTCTAGAAGAAAATGAAGAAGAAAGAAGAAGGATAAGAGATAACACCCTAAATCCTCCAGCTTGCCTTCTGCTCTCTAAACTAACTTAAACTCTAAACTCTAACTTTTTCACCCAGTGACTTAAGAAAACTCTCTAATCTACACACACTTCTAGCTTTTCTAACTTCAACAGCTGTTTTTATGTATCACCATGAAAACATGGCCATAAATTTCACGTTGTATGAAATCCTGTGTTCTCCTGGATCTCAGAGCCAGCCATCAGAGACAGGGGCACACACTCCGTGTCTCAGACTCCAACACGGATGAGCGTGGATGCTCCTGACAACAAAGGGCACAGTGTTTCCCCTGAAAGTGTATTTAGCCCCAGGCAAAATTACACCTTTTCCATGGGGTATGCAGGGGAAAAGATGATCATTTGAGGCTTTCTGCAGTGATTCACATTATTAAGCAAGTCTTGAGTTATTAGGATGGTAAGAGAGCGGTCTCCAAGGCTGCAGATTACTGTCCATGAGAATTGAGTTGGACTTGAAATTTCCTTCCTTAATGTACCTGAAGAATGAATTTGATGAATCTGCCACGTGTGCTGGTGGGTGGAAGTTATTATTAAGAAAAAAACAAACAGGCTGCTCTTAATTCTTGGGTGAGATAAGATCAACATGCCCTCAATTTAGGAAAACAATTATATTCAGTGTAGAAAACAACCAAAAATCACACTGAAAATAAAATATTTATAGGGAAGTTTGCTGTGGGCTGGTATTGCTGAAGATCTTGGGGCAGGTGGAGGTCTTTAAACTTTTTAAATTTGATTTGTTCTTGCAAAATGATGTCTTGCAAGACAGAAGACATATGTTAAACTTTAGTCAGCGATTCAACGCTCTGCAGTTCATCTCCAGCAATTATCCCAAAAGAACTTTTTGCATTTCATGACTTACCTGTTTGAATTCTGCCCTGAGTAATGAGTATCTTCTTTCTGGAGATGAAATCCAGGCACCTGAGGGAAAGAGCTTCCAGGCAGGACTCATGCAGTTCAGGGCTTGGCATTCCCTGCGCTGTAGCTGCCACTTTTGAAACAATTCCGGAAGCATCCTCAGCAGGGAGGTGGGACTCCAAAAAAGGGTAGGAAATCAAATTACAGCATCTGAAATAGTCTGTGCTCATACCTCTTACACTCTGAGCTCTACAAATGGAGGCTGTGCTCAAAAGCTTCCCTCAGAAACTGAATTTCCCTCAGAAATTACAGCAGAAAGTACCACTGGTTGTTATAATAAAGTAAGAGAACAGAAAATTATGGCCACAGCTTCAAGGCAGATCTCAGGGGACAAACCCATGATTTGCCAGAAAAATTTCATTTTCCTTTTCCAAAAAATCCTTTTGTTCTCCTATTTCCTCCACCAGCCTAGTTTTGGTGATACTTCCACAGCACTGGAAATTCTAATACGTTATGAACCTAAAGCTAGTTTAGAGTTTAAGCTAGTTTAGAGAGCAGAAGACAAAATGGAAGATTTAGGGTGTTGTCTCTTTTCCCTCTTCTGTCTTCTTCATTTTCTTCTTCTAGAGGTTTTTGGGTAATAGTAGGTGATTGGATAGAAAATGTCACAGTGCAGCACACAGGTGGGTCATTGGGTCATTAAGAAAAATAATCTATGTGTCTATTGTTCATTGGATAAGAATAGGTATAAAGATAAAAAGGCTGCACAGTTTGGGGCCATTTTGTGCCTGCAAGGCCAAAGTGAGCCAAAAAGGGCAGGATGAATTGAACTTGAGCAAAAAGTCTGCCAAGTTTTGTGATAACATCCTAATAAACACGAGAAACAAGATCCTGACGAGCTTTGGAGTTTTCTTCTGACCTGGAGAACTGAGATAAATGGAACTCCCTGTGAAGGAATATTCCAGAAGAGCTCAGCCCAGAAAGGACTGAGAAATCCAGGTGTGAGAAGAAGTACAGAAGCAGAATCAAGAGAAAAACAGATTTTAAAAGTTATAGTGATGTTGCTGAGGAGCAGTGCAAGGTGTTGGTGTTTATCTTTCTTGTTCTTGAGAGAGTGTGAGGTTAGTGATGAATAAAATAGAATCTTACTGAATCTAAAATCTAAAATAGAATCTTACTAAATGACACTAAATAATAGCACAACATTAGAATAAATGGAAGTAAATGAATAGAATAAATGTCCTAAAGCATAAGCCTATAGGTTTAAAAAAATGCTTGAAATTACAGACAGTAAAATAAGACCCAAGAGGCATGGTTAAGAATTTGGTTGTATAACTCCTTCAATGAAGGATGTTTTTGTACACATTACCATCCATTCCTGCCATCCTTAACCAGAAACAGGAGGCTAAAGCCTTGCTACAGGTCATCTGTTTTGATTTTGACAGGAAAAATTCTGTGTTTTCATTTTGCCCAAAAGAAATCTGCAATATTTTCACACTGTTTCAGTGCTGAGAGGTACAAGTTAATCTATTAAAGATTATAATTTCATATGGGCCTGATATATTCTGATGCCAGCAGAATTCCCTCACGAGCTGGTATCACGGTGTGGTTCTTGTGTGACTCACAATGCCTTAGCCCATGAGATTTATTCATCTTTTCTTTCCTAGCAGTTTTAATTTGGTGTCAAAAGACATAATTCTTTTAAAGACTTACAATTCTGATGGTCAAAAGCCAAAAGTACTGACTTGCACTTGGCAGGAGGGTGTGTTTGCTTCAACAAGAGGTGCTTCTAAAGAATAACTTCAGTTGCTTTTATGCCAAAGAGTCCCTGTGTCCTCTTCCAAAACCCCTTCATGTTGACTGCATGAGGTAGTGTTTATGCCAAATGTTCTCCCACGTGTTTGCAAAGCTTTTCCTGGTGTTTGCACTGAAATTTTTCACCTAAAACCAGTTTGGGGCTCCATTTGATGCTTTTTGTGTAGACATCCATGTTCATAGAGTCCTAGAGATGGAAGGGACCTTAAAGCCCCTCCAGCTCCACCCCTTGCCATGGGCAGGGACACCTTCCACTATCCCAGGCTGCTCCAAGCATGTTTTAATGTTTTCTCCTCCAAGCCCCATCCATCCTGGCCTTGGACACTTCCAGGGGCAGTCACAGCTTCCCTGTGCCAGGCCTGGGTCCAGAGACCTTGGGAGGCAGCTTGTATGGGGACAGGTACCTGGGAGCTCCTCAGGTACCTGGGAGCTCCTTAGGCTGTGAAGGGATAATAAAATCCGGCCCATGGCACTGAGTAATCTGGTTATTTTAATCACTACATGTGACTCTCTGAATTATCATCTGTATTACGGGATAATATGAGCTCTTTGGTATTCAGCAATGACTTTTTAAAAAATTATCATATATATTGTACAGAGCTAATATATTAAGAGATACCTTAAAGGCAATTGTCAAGTGTGTGATTTCATCTCTAAGTTCTAATAATGGTGGTTAATGTCATAAATGCCTTTTAATGAAATTATAGGCTTGTAACCCTGCCCAACTATCCTTTGTGTGTCATATAATTAATAAGACCAAGCTTTGGTGTTGATCTCAGTGTCACAAAGCATAGTGCAAATTTCCATACTGATGGTAGATGGTTAGTCTCCCATCAGAATAAGAATAAGGTTAAGGCCAGGCAGTTTGAGTATATGTTACCTTATCTCTAAAGGCAGCTGGATGGGCTTGTTAACAGAATATACTTCTAACAGAATATATATGCTCATAAAAAAAAGGGGCCATTGATCTAATGCCTTATTATAATACTACAGGCAATATTTTAAGGGAGTGAAAAGGTGAGGGAGTTGCAGCACTTGGAATAAAGAATTGTTTTCCTTCTAATCCACTGAGGATAGTGAAAATTTGTGACCAGCTAAAAACCATTTGAAGATGGACAAGAATCTTTATCTTGAATTAAAGACACTTGTCTGGAACATAACGGAGCTGGGATTGTTTCCCAGTGTGCTCTAATTTCTGGGGGGGCTTTGGCTAAATTGATTATTTTTTATGGTCATTAGATTTCCTGTCTGAAGAACAAGGGCCGTAATATTTCTTCTCTTTGTCTCACATTTCCAGATTTTAAGCTTGCTGAAGCAAAAGAGTTATCTGTGTGTTATTTTGTGGTGTTTTTTCCCCCTTTGGTAATTGAATCTTACAGAATCATTCATACTGGACTAACTCAAGGTCACCTAATCCTGCCTCCTGTTCAGAGCAAGAGCAATGTTGAACTCCTGCCCTCTAGACACTTTTCTCATTGTAAATACTCATAATTGGACCAGCCATTTTACATGCCACCAGTGAAAGTTAGCTCTCAAAAGAACATATAGGACTTATTAGCATTATTGTACTGTTCTTGTTCCTTCAGGGAATGATGTACCTGGAAGAGAGGAGACTCGTTCACCGGGACTTGGCAGCCCGTAACGTCCTGGTGAAATCACCAAACCACGTGAAAATCACTGACTTTGGCTTGGCCAGGCTTCTGGAAGGGGATGAAAAGGAGTATAATGCTGATGGGGGAAAGGTGAGTGTCTGGAGGTAAATCTGCCATGCTGTGACAAACCTCCTGGAGTTACTCCTCACACCAGTGTGTCCCTGTGGGACTAAGAGAGTCTGTCAGTGCCTCGCAGAAGAACTCTGTTGTGAAAGCACATGCAAAAGATCCTCATTTTTTGCACAGGGAGCTCCTCCAGGCACTGAAATGTAATTGCACGAGCAGTTTTCACAATCAGAATTAGGTTTATTTCATGTGGTTCGGTTTGAGTCTTGTTTTGAATACTTCAATGAGTGATGGATGTTCTGGGGCATTCCTGCCCAGCCCCTTTCTCTGGACAGTACTCACCTCAATAACCCATTTTTCCAGACAAGTAATTTTTTGTGAAAACAAAAGGGAAGGCCACAGAACATGAGAATTTAGCTCTTCTATCACACTGGAAGAGCTTGCATATGTTATGTCTTGCATCCACCACTCCAATACCATGCTGAATGCACTAAAAGACAGCTTGAAGATAATTTTGAAACCAGCCATTTCCCCCTATTACTTTCCAGCTAACCACACCACAGCCATGTAGTGCCTTACCTCATTTCTTCCAGCTTCAGATTAATGCATGATAAAATTCAGAAGGCAGTAAGTACATGGTGCTTCTGGCTGCTCCCTAAACATCTTGAAACTCCCCATTTCAATCTGTCACAGAATCCCAAAGGACTTGCTTCACCTGTCATTCCTTTTCCTGGATGTTCAGTTTGCTATCTGTGGATTTTTGTGCTCACTGGTGCCCTTGTCTGGGACGAACAGTTTGACGGAAAGCTGTTGCCAGTGTGTGCTGCTCTCCAGGATGAGCTGCTGCCCTTGGATCACCTGTGCAGGTGGAGAGTGAAGAGCTTGAGAGGGGAGCCACCAGTGTTTTCCCATTTCCCCATGGAAAGCAAGATGCCTCCTGGCAGGGAAGGTGGGGTTTTGGCAGCTTTCCCTGATTCCTTCATTTCTGTAATCCTCGGTAACCCCTCAGCCTCCTCCCTCCATCTGACAGTGATTGACAGAAAAAGAGCTGATCCTTGCAAACCAGCTATTCCCTGGCAGCTGTGGCTTGGACTTGTCACCCTGCTGAGAGCTCTAGAGCAGGATTTATGTCAGATGTACCACTTCCCAGGTCCAGAAAAGCATCCTGTGAAATCCAAAGGACATTGGCAGCATCAAGTTGTGTTGGGAGCATGCTAAGGGAGGTTCAGACCGAGCAATCAGAGGTTGTCAACAGAGGTGGTGCAGTTTCCATCCTTGAAGGTTTTCAAGTCCAGACTGGACAAACCTCTGAGTAACTTGGCCTAATCTCCCAGGCAGCTGGACCTGCTGTGAACCTGAGGTGGGACTAGAGGCCTCCTGAGTCACTTCCAACCTGAGTTATCCCATAATGAACAAGGCAGCTCTGCTCCTTCAGCAGCTGTTCACACCTGGAACACAGTGGCAATGGAAGCAAAGCACCTCTGCAGAGTTTAGTGGGGGAGGATGAACTGTCTTTGCAAGAGTTAAGGCAGCCTTTATTACAAGGTGCTATTTTTGCCATAACTCTATAGGTTGTGCTCATTAGTGAACTTCATGGAAGGTAGTTTCATAAGGCTTTGAATGAAGACACATCCTCTGCTTTCACACCCACCATCTGTTCAGCTTTTGCCTGCAGTTACTCATCCCTTTGGTTTATTCCAGTACCTCTTCCATAGCTCCAAGTTGGAGGCAACCCATACAAGTCCCTGCCAGGTAAAAATCTCCTGCTTGTTCATCAGAAATTCATCAGACTGCCAGGCTGTGCCTGCCAGGCCCAGCTCAGGAATGGGAAACACCATGAATCCCATGTGAACACAAAGTGGAGAGGGTGGGCTGTAATGCAGGAAGGTTTGGTTTGCCTGCACACCCTTCTCTGTCAGAAGAACAGGGTGATTCACTGCCACAGGAACCTGGGGCTGCTGCCTGGGGAGTAATTTAGTCTGGGGAGTAATTTTCTCATTGCAGTAATGATACAGAGAACTGGGGTGGCTACATCTCTAACAAACATCAGGAGTTTACAATAAAGCACTGCAAATTCTCCTCATTGCCTGTTCACCATGAAGATGATGATGATGATGGTGAAGTGTTATGGTCACTGCATTTGTAACCTGGCCTCATGAGAGAACAGCTGAGACAGCAGTGTTGCTATTTCAGATCCCAGAGATTGCAAACTGTTAAGGAAAAAAAAAAAGCTTCTGCATTCCATCTTCTCTGCTGCTCTTCAGATTCAGGGGAATTATATGAAATTTTTGCACCAGTCCCTCTTTATACAGGTTTGATGAAAAGAAGTTGTTCCACAACTTCTGAATCAGTAAATATCAGAAGGTCTGCAGGTAACTGGTTCATCTTTCTCACCTCCAAGTTTTAGGAGGCACAGCCCCATTCAAGAGGGAAGGAAAAGCCATTTCCTCTGGGGGATAGTGCTGCTTTTTTTTCAAGCTCACCCTTGAAGGAGGCAGGGAGGAAGTTGTTGTCTTCGTAGAGGATCTGTTTGCATTGTTTTAATAATGTATTTCTAAGGTTGCATTTCTCTTGTCCTTCCCTAGATGCCAATTAAGTGGATGGCTCTGGAGTGCATACACTACAGGAAATTTACCCATCAGAGTGATGTGTGGAGCTATGGTAAATCTTCACCTGATCAGTTTAAAAAGTTGTGTCTTTTAAAGCATTAAACCAAGTATGTTAAAGCTATCCTCTTTTCTCAAAGGAGTTAATTCCAGAGGCGTTTGCTCTTCAGGTTTTGGGTTTTTTTTTTTCCTTTAAATGTGTAACTCTAAGCAGGAATTGTTACTGTCTCCTGTGTTACTTCCCTGCTCACTGAAATATATTATCATGATGTTCCCTGCTGGGGTGAGTGCCTCAAGGTCTGGTCTGGTAGCAGTTTGGCTGATTATTATGACAGAAGAAGACCTCTTTCAGCTTAGCCACAGATTCATAAAAATACAGCTGCAGGTCACAATTTTCAGCAGTCTTTGAAAAGCTCAACTCTAAAAGCCATGAATGTCAAAAAACATTTTCAGGCTTATGGGACTTTCTCTACCTAGAGTCAGATAAAAGGGAATTTGTCATAATACAGGGCATATATGGCAAGAGGAAAAAAAAATAAAAGGAAGAGACAAGCTCTCCAAACTAACTAGAACAAGCATCTATTTAATTTCACAGATAACTTGGGAATTGGTGAGCTACACACACAAAGTCATATTTGAGAAATGAGGTGTTTGTTCAGTGTTGCTAATGGCTCTTCAGATGAGCTGTTTGCCACATCTGCTGAGGTCTCTGCCTGTTTATCTGCTATAACTATTACTAATAAAATCATTTATGCCTTTGTCAATGGAAATTTGCAGCAGTGTCTGGGGCTATGGAGTCCTGTTTGCATTTCCTTTTGCCATATCATTTTGAACCAAAAGGGTGTACAGCTCTATTCATTACTCACTTTTACCTGTGGGTAGCAGCAAAAGACACTGTTTGCTGTGGCTGGGTAGCTGCCCTCTTCTAGCCAGCTGAAAAAAAGCCTGAGAGAGTTCAACTGATCTTATAAAGCTGCTCTTTCTCTTCAAATTGTGTATACCCTGGATCACTCAGGAAAAAAAATAATATGCCTTTGTTCATGAAATTAATTTTAAATGCAGGAAGCCCAGAATATCTATAATCAGAGAGTAAAGGACCATAAAAAATTAACAAGGAGATAAATGAGGGTGGAATAAATGTGATTTACTCATGTGGTGATTTTGCCCATCACTTTTCACATTAGAATGACAGTTGTCAAAATATGGTGCTGATCTGAGGCGTGCTTAAAATGACCTTTGCAACTCAAATAAAAGTTAAACAAAATGGTGTGAGAGCACCATTTTCAATATTTAAGATTCTGTCTGGGCACAAATTATTTTACTTATGATATACCATCTTTATTTCCAGCTCTGAAGCCAAAACGAATCCTATGGCTTTTCAAAAAGAGAATTTTGGGTTTGTAGTACAGCACCACTGTAAACTCAGATCCATAAGATGATTTAGGGGAAAAAATGATAGCAGTGGCTGTGAATGACTTAAAAAGAAAAGCCAGTGACCTAATGTTAGTCAGTGCTGTACCTTTGTGGGAAATTGATGCTCTAAGTTAGAGAACATCTGTGCTTTTTCCCCTTAAAATAATAGAGCAGATCAGGCATTCATTTCCCTTTTTGATAAAAGAGTGTGATGCCTTCTTTTGTTACTGCACCCAATTTACTTTACCAGCTTTCATTTGTCTCTCTTGTGTGCCTCAGGTCTATCATGCCGTTTCTTACACCAATAAAAATGAGGGAAGCTGCTTTTCAAGATTACCACAAAGTGCTGTTTCACCATTTCCCACAGTTTTTAAGTGGCAGACCATCATGGTTTAAGCACAGATGGCAGCTAAGCACCGTGCAGCCACTGGCTCAACTCCTCCTGTCCCCCTAGTCCAAATTTTTCCAGGCACTGGTGAAGAAGAAGGGATTGCAGCCCAGAACTGGTCCAGAATACTCTGCTGTGAGAGATTGTGAGGGGATCTGAGTAGTGTGACCTCAAACACTGATGCTCTTTCTTCTGCCTAGGAGTCACCATCTGGGAGCTGATGACCTTTGGTGGGAAGCCATACGATGGAATCCCAACTCGAGAGATCCCTGACCTCTTGGAGAAGGGAGAGCGGCTGCCCCAGCCCCCCATCTGCACTATTGATGTTTATATGGTGATGGTGAAGTGTAAGGAATTGCCACTCTTGCTACCCTTATGCTCACTTCCAGAGGGACACTGGTTTAGAACATTTGCATGGGTGGTCTCTGACAGAGCTGGGAAACAGAGCAAGCTGCAAAACAAAAGCTTCCCAACATCCTGTAAATTCCATTTAAATACTGTCTGCACGTCTTTTGCAATTTTGCAATCGTTAGCCACGAAGGGCCCGGTTAGCTCAGCTCCTTATTACTGGCAGATGTTATCTCATGTATTTGCTGTGAAGTCAAAATTGTATGATTGTTATTGTAAACCCTTGTCATTTCCATGACAATTGATTCTGATGTAAAAAAGATAGTATTAAACATAATTATGGCACATGGATACCCAGCCAGAGAAGGCTGTGAGGAGAAATCCCGTTTCCAAATATTGAGGAAAGAAATCACGAATGTTTTATTGTTAGTAGCAAGAATGATGATTGCAATAGTAATAATAAAAAGTAAAATTAATAGAAGAAAAGCTACAGAGAAGATTATTTTTTATCATTCTAAGTCCACTACAAAAATTTATGAATATTTTTACTCTAGTAAAAAAGGAAAAAAAATCTTCTCATGGTTTCGTCCAACTTTTTTATCTCCAAGATACCCCCTCTAATGACAGTATCCTCCAAGGTTATGCTTCTAATTTAAAAAGAATTAGAAATATCTCTCTGATATTTCTGGCTTAATTTAAGTGAGATTAACATACAGACATCTCATCCATCATATATACTCCTTTCCCTTTTGCTTTGTACACAGAAGCCCTGGAAAAAAAAAAAAGCGGAAAGGACAGCTAGAAGTAAATTAAGTATCTTCTGAAAGCAGTTGTAGTGTGCATGGAGGTGTGGAAATTAAATCATGCAAGGGCTTGGCTGAGTGCAAAAATGTCCCATCTGGTGAGACACATCCTTAATAAAAGTCAGTCAGTGCTGATATTTAAGTGTGCAAGATGGAGAAAATTACAAGGTGGTATTGTGGTCTCCAGGACAGAGAGGAGCCCAGCAAATTAAGAAAAATTCCATGCAGTAAGGAACAATTTAGTCTGGCCAAAACCAGGTGTTCCCCATTTTATGCATCCTAGAATTCTAACTTTCCATTCTTCTGGGTTCTTTATCGCGACTTTTCTTTGGGACAGTGCGATCGAGCACTTCAAACTTGTGCATTTAAAAAATGATTCCCACCCTTGACACTGAACTGTTTTCTTTCTCATCTTTCATCCAGGCTGGATGATTGATGCTGACAGTCGGCCAAAATTCAAGGAGCTGGCTGCTGAATTCTCTAGAATGGCTCGAGACCCTCAGAGATACCTGGTAATTCAGGTAAGCAACACAGGGGTGGGAAAAAGAATTCTGTCTGTGACACCCAACCATTAGGGGTGTTGCCTGTGAGCCTTTTGAGGTTCAAGGTGCTCTTGAACCTAAAGCAAACAGTGACCACAGTGTGTAGAATGGACAGTGTCAGTACCTCAAAAATAAGAATATTAGTAACACAGCAGTCTGAAATTCATTTCCTGAGCTCGTGTTGATGAGTCTCTGGCTTTGTAAGCTGCTCAGTGCTCTTCATTCCCTCATGAAAACGGGGACAAATTTTGTCCATTGGCAGACAGTGGATCTATCTTTACACCAAGGACTTCCTTGGTTCTAAAATTGGTTAGGCTGAGTCTTTTCCCTGCGCTGCTGAGATCACAAGCAGGATTCTTTTCACTGCCTAAACATGAAAGTTGCTTAGAAGACAGGGAGTTGTGTCACACTGGTACCTCTAATGCTAGGGAGGAGCTCCCCTCTCTGTTCTCCTTACACTCTGAGGGCTCTGGAGGCTTCACATCCCTGTGACAGGGTTATGAGGGGTTCATCCTTCATGGGTTTATCCCATGAATCTGCCCTGTGGCAGCAGGGTGACATCTGGCAAGTACAGGTATCTGGAGCTGGGTGTGCCTGAGTACAATTTCTAATTTAAAAATATTAAAATTAAAAATTTTGCCTGAGTACAATTTCTAATTTTAAAAAAATTAAAATTAAAAATTAAAAAAAAAAATTGAAACAGCCTATTTCTGTGGCAGCCTAGATCTGTGCTTGTGTTTATTACAGCTCAGACTGCAGCCACAGAATAAGTGTAAAGTTCTTAGGTAAGGGCCCAGTGTGTGAGCAGTTCAAAGGAAAATGAAAACTTAAAAGTGAGGTGATGGTGAAACTCCAGAGACCAGAGCATGGTTTGATCCAGGAAATGATATTCTCCTGCTCTGTCTCATGCTGTAGCTGCTCCACATCATGGAGCACAGGACAGAGGTGCTCCTCAGCTTCACACTGATGTAAGAACTCCTGGTGAGAGAGCCTCCAGAAGTGCAGCCAGAGCCACTTTACGTCTCCCAGAAAAAGATTAAAAGATTTTGTTCGACAGGACACGTTTCCTTACTCCAAATACCTCTTTCCCCCGTTTCTCCCCCTGCCCTGCATGGTCTGGTGGATGTTTCATCTCTCTCACATCCTGCAGAACTTTCCATACAGATAGGAGGGAAATCTACCCTCTAAGCCCCTCTGAGTACAAATTGAAATAAAGCAAACATCCTGACACAACAGTTTCCTTGTTATTCCCCACCCCTCTTATTTGACCCTAAATAGCTGAGATATTTCACAAAATATGTCAGAACTTGGGTAAGAAACTGATCTTGTATGGGAAAAAGAGAGAAGAAAGAATAAAAGCTCAATCACAAGAATGCCAGAAACATGGTTTTGCTTGATTCATGCAGTTACTCCCTTTTTGTCATCATATTCCCAGTAAAAAAAGCAAAAACCAAAACAAAACAACAAAACAAACCCACAAATTATGTGGATATAGTGCTTTTGGACAAACAAAGCAGCATGTGTGGTCCCTGCAGCCTGGCTGCCAGGGCATTAGGAAGGCTGAAATTCTCTCTTTGGGAAATTAATCCACCTTTTGATGTTTTTCCTCTCTCAATAAAATCTGTTTAGGGAGATGATCGTATGAAGCTCCCAAGCCCAAATGACAGCAAGTTCTTCCAAAATCTTCTTGATGAGGAAGACCTGGAAGATATGATGGATGCTGAAGAGTATCTTGTTCCTCAAGCCTTCAACATTCCTCCTCCCATCTACACCTCCAGGACAAGAATTGATTCCAACAGGGTAAGAGCAAGCTCTGACTGAAAATATTGGTTATTATAAAAGCACAGGTGGAGATTTAAGCACACCAATGAAACACAGGCCAGCACTGCCTTGGGAATTACAAGCCCCCATTGTGAGGAGAGTGGCTATAAAAATGTTGTCACTGGGCTCCCTGTTCCCAGGGAGTTGTGCCTTGCTGAATACTAAATTAATAGTCCAGCCTTGAGTGAACAAAGGCTCAGCTTGAGCTGCCTGCCCTGAAAGCACAGCTGAGGCTCCTGAAGTCCAGCAGCGCTGTGTCTGCGCTGTGCTGTGCCCAGGAAGTCCACAGCCCTGGTGCTGCCATCCTGTTGTCTTGGCAGGGCTGCCACTGATGTGGCTGAGGGGCAGCTGGAGTATGCAGATAATGTAGCTCTTGTGTCTGGAGCCAGATTTTCAAGCCAGCCCCTTTTCCTGTTGGCAGGCGATGCTTTGGTACCTCCCCTTCCCAAATGTGTTTGTGCTGAGCACATGGCAGATGTTGGCAGGCTGATCCTTGCACCCTCCCTGGCAGGGAGGAAATGCTCTTCATTGTACAGGGGGACCTGAGGCACAGAGAGTGCTCAGGGGGGATCCAGCTGACACAACTCCAGCCATCTAAGAGATAGGGACACCACCTAAGAGGCCGCCAGAGTTCATTTTGTGTTACTGGGTGAACATTGCTGCCCACCATGGGGCATTTCCAGTAGGGTAAGGCACTTTCTGGAGGTGTCTTTCTCTATCCACTAACTCCTGACAGCTGCAGAGCAGTCTCAGCCCTGCTGTGTGAGCTCTGGGGTGTTGAACCCTGTCCCACACGTCTGTGCCCTGCTGCAGGTGAGGAGCCAGGTCAGATGTGTCTGGAATCAGCTTTCCCTCCTCAACAGGTCTGACCTCTGCCTCTTCCTGTGCCTGGCTCCAGCCTTTTCACAGCTCAGTTGTCACCCCTCTCACACAGCTAAGAGGTGGTGAAAGCATTACTAATGTGAGGGCATTCACAGGGGCAATCAGGTGTGTTTTAACTAGGGCCTAGCCACAGATCAAATATTTAGTCCCTTTGAAATGCTGATGTTTATTCGTCACGGTTTAGAACCTTTTGGACAGTTATCCGAGGCTGAGGTAGTTCCAAGTTCATAGCCAGGTGTGAACTGATTATTAGCATGTGAGATGGGAGAGGTGAGTGATAAGTGGATAATCTGAGCCAGGAGCCATGCTCTGGCCATACCCCACAGGGAGCTCCTTACCCTCTCCTGAGGAAATCAGTGCTTTCTGGCAATAAAAAGGACAAAATCTGATCCTAATAGTCACGTTGGAAGGAAATTGTTGCTGTTTTAAAGGCGAGGAAACTGGAGATGTCTGGATTCATGTAGCATTTATCCTGCATCACTGAAAGACAGTGAATGATTTAGCAATAAGTGAGAAACTTTCTTTTTGTGGCTCCAAGAGTTAATTGATGGTGATCTGAGATGAGTCAGGTTTACCACTAGCTGTCTCTGGATAGGTTTCCTTTCCTGCTAACTTCTGAGGAAAGAAGGGGAGGACAGCAGCTACTTTTGGAAGGTATTCACTGTCACAGGGATGTAAATCCCTGGAGCTTGGTTTGACACAGTGGAGCACTGCCATTTACACCAGCACAGGGCTCAGAGGCCAGGGCCTGGCATTTTGGGTTTGCTAAATTCATCTCACTCCCATATTTGCTGGAAACACTGGGACACATATAAAGGAGAAAAGCTTAGTAGAAAAATGTCCTTGCTTTTTCAACAGCTCTTTTTGCCCTCTGCCTTTGGTACCAGCCCAGTAGAGGAGCCCAGTAGAGCTGAGGGAATTCCAATAAAAATCCTAGAGCTAATATTCTGGAAGATTCATTTACAACGTGGTCACTGGGATATTCATGGAATGAAAACACAAGCATTTATTTTTATTATCATTAGTGCTGGTGTTATTATATGAAAATGCAAATAACTTTCACAAAGCCTTTTCCCAACTTCAAAGCACACCATTGCAGCTGCTTGCACACATGTGATCTCCTTGAAATCAGCAGAGCTGCAGAAAGCAGAAAAGCTCCCAGGCCTTATTTTTGCCATACAGAGAGACTCCATCACATTCCTGACGTGACACCTCCTTTCCTCAGCTCACAATTTCCCACCTTGGTTTGAAACTGTGATCTTGTACCACTAAAGACAGTGGGAGCTTTGCTTTGCAATTCAATTTAACAACAGTAAGAAGACTCTATCCTCTTCACAGTAGCTCCTTTTGCTGGGAATTTTTCTCTGGCATTGTACAACAGTCTAAGATTTAAACAAAGCTGGAATCACCCTTTGCCAAAAGTTTTCAGTTTGTGAGCCAAGCTGTCTGACCCAGATGAGACAGAGAGGTCAGAGAGGGCCAAGCTGGAAGCCCTGCACCATCGTAGCACTCCTGCTTTCCTGTGCAGACAGGTGTTTTCTGGAGGTAATTCATGAATGCAGAAAGCCACATACATTTCTGTTGCCTTTGTGCAGCACTCAGTTTCTTGTCACATTAACTGTTTTTTTAGTGAAGATTGATTTAAACATGACACAGTTGCTCCTTTAAGGTAGCAGTGCATCTGCTGTGCATAGTTCAGTACAGATGGATGTCAGCTGCAGGAATCACACGGAACTGAAATGCTGTCAGAGCTCCCTATCTGCACTTGTCTGGCTCTGCCTAGGTGTTTCCTTTGGATAGTCTGTTGTTTGTGCTTGTTTGGCAGAGTGCATATTGATACTACACAAACCCATGAGAGTGCTGCTGCAGCCATGGACACCGAAGGAATGGACACAGCTCACAGCTGTGCTCACTCTGTCTGGCAAACTGCATTGTGTGGGACACTGTGAGGCAGCTTGGTGAAGGAAAACACACAGCTAAGAGCCACATGATCTCCAGGCCATTTTCAGGGCTAAGAAGCATGAAAGATCCTTTACCTCAGCTGTTCCAGTGGCAGTGTTAGTGAGCAAGGGGTGAGGCAGGGCACTGTGCTCCTTCTCTTTGCTGGCAGTGTTGGTTGAACGCTCCAGCAGCACGGCTCCATGGGGACAGAAGAGGGCAGGAAGAAAGCAAGGAGATCATGAACCTTCTTACACATAGGCTTTGAAGTCAAGGAATGAAGAACAGGAGCATTTACTTTCTCAGGGAAGCCCTGAAGTTTCCCTGTGGCGGTGGCAGGTCTGAGTCCTTGCAGCCTCTTGGTGGGAGAGGCACCACTGGAGGAGGTTTGTGTAAAACACTCCTGCCCACGGGAAGAAAAGAGCCATTTGGATGTGCATCAGCACCACAGATGCTGGGTAGAAGACTGGAGAGAGGGAGGGCTTCTGGGAAGTTGCCAGCTCCCCAGGAAGCCTCACACCCTTCTTCCTCCAGGGCTTACACAGATTTATGAAGCTGCAAGGCTCAGACACAGCTTTTCCATCACATCCACACTGGCTCCATGCTGGCACATCCTTGGGACCTACCTGTGCTGCTGGGAGCCCTGCACAGGCTCTGACCCTTAACAGTGGCCTCTGTTGTGAAGTCCACTCTGAGACTGCTGCAGCTTTTAAATAAAAGTTACCATCCTAAGCTAAATTGAATTATTTCATTGGATCTGAAACTCTTCAGTTGCAATTTTGTCTCTGGCTTTTTCCAGTTTTTATTTTCCACTGTCTAGAGACACTCCAGAAAACCAGAGTTTGAGAAGCTCTGTGCTTCTGAGAGATAAGCTGAATCCTGGGCAGTGTTTCCAGGAGCACGGGACCCCAGCTAGCGCTCAAGTGTCCTGCATTCACATCCATTAGATGATTCATTCAGGTATTTGTAATGAGTGCTGTCCTGTGTGTGCAGAGATAATGCTAATACAGCAAGCACTCTCTGTGCCCCACCATGCTTTCTGCTCTAAATCCTTGGCTAATTCCTGATGAAAACTGTCTATGCTGTTTATTACTCACAGATTCTGTCCTTGTAATTTTGTTCCATACACTTTATATCATGGAAGCACCTGCAGACCCTGCAATTAAATATCAAGCAATTTTTTTTCAGAGATGTCTCATCCATATGTCCATGGAGACTATCCTGCTTGGCTGAAGCAGACTGTGGGACACTGGAAGCCAATTTTCAGTTCTCTGAGCAGTATCTTAGGTCTGGTAGTGCAGCATCCTTGTCCCTTGGCGAAGCCAGGAGGGAGTCATGGTTTGACCATGATTCCTCTTGTGTGGCAGCACCTGCTCCCCATTTCTTTTCCTCTAAGAGAAGGCAATTAAGTGTTCCTGCCCAAGTAATTTCTCCAGGTATGTCCTGGCCCCATGGGACTGATGGCAATAAAACTGCTTCCTCTTGAAGTTAATCCAAAATGTATGTGAAGAGAAATCCAGCCTACATGGAGCCATTAAAAGCATTTTGTCCAAACTTCTGGCATAGCACAGACAAGAGTCTCTTGTCTCTTAATTTCTGCATCAAGTGCAGAAATTCTATTTGGGGTGGAGTTTGTCTTTCAGAAAGGTTGTCTTGATTGTATCAGGTGGGATGGAAAATACATCAGAGTTTCACTGGGCAATTAATGCTGACTTTTCAGCAGGGTTTGGATTCTGCTCCTGCCTGCCATGAACTTTCTTGTGCTAGATTTAAGGAGTTTCCAGCTACAAGAAATCTCTGGTTATCATGGTATGATTCTTGGGGTGTCTTGTGCAGGGCCATGAGCTGCACTCAGTGATCCTTGTGAGTCCCTTCCAGTTCAAGATATTCTGTGATTGTCTGATTCTTCTGCTTAAAAGGCTAAACAGGATATTACCATTTGTATGTGTTTGCTGTTAAGTGATGACAACACAGATGTCTTTTTTTAAAAATCTGTTTGTGGTGTTTGCCATCTTTCTGCTTCTGCAGTATCTTCCCTAAAAAATAATATGACCAAATCCTCCCCTAAATTTGATACCTCTTAGGGCAGTCTGTCAGGCTGTGGTCTTCTTTAATTATTTCTATCCCTTTTCTTTAATTGCTGCTCCTTAAAAGGTGAT